AGGGGTAACACGTGAGCTTTAGGGTATACAGTCGTAAAACTGACAATTGTAATTTTTTAAAACACACTTGCCAGTAAGTTACACATCAGAGCTCTCGCTATTATAAGACTCTTGTTTGGCACGATTACTAGCCTAATTTGGGTGCTGCAAGCTATATATTTTATCAACTTAAACAGCTGTTATGTTATTTAGTAATGCATGTTGTTTATATAATTGCAAGCTTTTTCTGTTCATTTTTTTTTGGAATGGCAGAAGCAAAACGTAAAACAAATCATAATAGGAAAAATTATAACTATGAAAATATATATTTAAATATTAGGGGATATTTTTGTCCTGTATCCTTGTCTAGGAATAAAATCATCGCTCATGCTTTGGGAAAAAATTAAATTCTATCACAGAAAAAAATAGTATATTTAATTGGCCAACCAATATCAAGGGAGTGATGAACCCTTTTAATGCCAACCGTATTTAAATGGGCTGCAGGGGAGATAGGTTAAAAATGAAAAGCAATTCAAGGAAGATGGATAAGGAAGTTCATTTAAAATATAACAAATAATGAGGGTGGAGACTCGTACATGTAAAAGGAGCTTTTTGAAAACAAAGGGAGGGCAGGGGGAATATGACGTCACTTTGCGGTTCCTCTTCAGCTACCATCAGCAAAGGCTCTTTTATTGGCTTGCCTTCCTTTTGTGGGCCTTGGGGCTATCTGTTACCAGCTAGAAGAGTCTAGAGTAGCCTGGTTACTGGTATAACAAATACTTGTAATTGCTTTGATGTAAATTTAATGACATTTCTAAATTGATTTTATAACTATTTCCTTGCTTACTAATTATATCATTATAAAAGTCTACAGTGAAGCTAGCTTATCTACTCTTATTATCTTTGATGATGCAAGTGGCATCACTACAATTCTTTAGTACATCACTTACTGTATGAAAAATCAACCAGTATTTAGGATGAAGTATTCAAAAGCTAAATAGCAATTGAGGTTCTGCTCATTCAAAGACTCAAGGCATACTACAAACGTCCTACTGTACTCTTTGAACAAAAAGCAGACGTCAATTCTTGGAAACGATGGTCTGATTCCTAGTCGAGGCATTTCTTGAAAGTTAACCTGATTGTGCAGTTGCATAGTTTGATTTTATCAGCTGATGATTAGCCTGTAATGATATTGCCTTCCCTCTCCGTGCTTCAGCCGAAGGCAGAGTCAACTTTTCTTACCGAGAGCTCTGTCTGGTCACGCGAGACTTGCTATTGGTTTACATGCACTGTATTGCAATACAATTACTTCGTTAATGATACTGTCACCGTGTCCGATAAAATGCCTTTACCAACATCTACTTAACGTTTACTCAACTGCAAACCAGTTGTGACTAACCATTTTGTCTCTCAGAATCTTTCTGACACCTAAGACTAGGTCCTGAGTCTGAGTATCCGGGGACCCGTCCAGCCCCATGGAACCAAGTTTTGCCATAAGTTTGTTGACTCCGTCCGTGGTCGCGCTTCGACTCTCCTTCGCTGACTCTTTAGACGGAACTGAAGGCAACACAGAGGTAATAAGGGGAGCCCCGTTGCCAGAGCCGTCAACTTGCGAGCTCTTTAGTTCGTCCAGAAGAGCTGGCGGCGGCGGCGAGGCGAGGGTCTTCCGCTGGAACGACACGGATTTACTGAGCTTTGATCTTCTGGCGACAAAGCCTTCCACCGTCGGAGCTTTCATGAGTTTCCGGAGATCAGCACCATCAGGGGGCAATAGGTTTCCTCTGGAGTCCTCCCGAGACATGCGTTTTAATATACTTTTCAAAGACTTTCTCTCCGGCGTCTCGGTGCTCTCGGGAGAGGACAGTGGGGGGGAGACGTCGTCGCTTGGTACCTGATTAAGGTTATGGAAAGCGTTGTGAGACACGTCATGTTAGGACATTCTCTAGGTATGACCACAGCCCTTTGTTAAGAGAAGGAGTTTTAAGAACGTTTATCTGTTGCTTTGCTTTAGTAGTTTGTATATTAAGAAAGAGGGTATTAAATCTGACTTGGGTGCATTAATCTTTGATTGCTTTAGAGATGACTAAGGGTTTAAAGCACGCAGGTTAACTCTCTACAAATTGCTATGTCGTCGGTATTAGCACATGCATTCTCTATATTATATCATTCTAAATCGATAACTCAAGTTTGAAATTAATTTGGAAAAATACTTTGGGCTAAAAATAGCGTTAAATAACAATAATATTTATAATAATAATAATAATAATAATAACAATAAATAAAACATGTTAAGATATGAATAGGAAGAATAAGCAGAGTGATAACGATAGGAAAATATTAATAGAAACAGCAATTATGGTGATAAAGATAACACTTGATAACAAAGATAATGCAACAACTAATACTACCAATTAATCATTTCTTAAATTTTATTACCATTATAATTACCATGAAAATTACCATTATCATTATTACTGTAGTTATCTTTATTTTGATGAAATAAATAATGAATAGAGAGAGA